GGAACTTTGCCGAGGGTGTTTTTAAAGAGATTGACTGGAGCCAGCCCTCGGCAATCATCACCTCGGCTCCTACGTGTTGCCGGACGCTTCGGCGCCCACCCTTCGTTGCTGCCGCGACGCTATTTGCCTGCTGTGCATTTAGCTTCGTGCCCTATAGCCTATACTTTTCTTTACGGATTTTTCGGCATTAGGATGACTCTCTGTGCACCTTCTGGTGAACTGGACCCCATCTTCGGGCGCGTGCTCGGACGTGGGCAGACCTTTACCTCCCGCAGGGGAGGGTGTGTCTGGGGGGCCTTAGCGTGCCGGTCTAACGGTGCACAGAGAGTTGCCAATCTTTTTGCTAGGGACTGGTCTGGCAGACCATTTAATGACTGCCACTCTAGTTATTCGTTTAGGGCGATAGGCAGGTAGGAGCCCCCCCCTTTTGGCATTAGCTCTGTCGAAATAGCTGCTGCTAGACAGAACACTGCCTTATTTTGCCGCGACTGGAACCACCTTGAAAGTTAGCTTCTCTCCCTCACTGTGGTGAAGCAGCAGCCTTTGGGCGGCTGCTTCTGAGGGTTGTAGGAGCTTACTTGAAAAGGTGCAGCACTCCTCCTTTCTCACTGTGGTGAAACAGCCCTTGGGTGGTATTTTCAGAGGAAGGAGGAATTCACTTTGAAAAAGGTTCAGGCCCTCTCCTCCCTCACTGGTGAAACAGCCTTTGTGTGGCTGTTTCAGAGGGATGAGAGGAACTAGCTGGAAAAAGTGAAAGAGCTCCATCCCTCACTGAGGAGAAGCAACCTTTGGGTGGCATCTTCTGAGGGATGAGCAAAGGGTTCCAAACAATGATGTTCAGTAGGTGGAAGAACATCCACTCTGGTCTCTCCCCAGGGGTTCACACCTACACTGGCTCCTACAATGCTTCTTGTCCCGCCACTGGAACCACCTTTGGCTGGCTGCTTCCTAAGGGCTGAACGAGCCTCCCTGATAAAAGGTGCAGGACTCCTCCTTTCTCGCTGGAAAGAGGAATTCACTTTGAAAAAGGTTCAGGCCCCCTCCTCCCTCACTGTGGCGAAAACTCAGAGGGAGGAGAGGAACTAACTGGAAAAAGTGAAAGAGCTCCATCCCTCCCTGAGGGAAGAGCACTAGGGTTCCAAACAATGATGTCCTGTAGGTTGAAGGGCATCCCCTCTGGTCTCTCCCCAGGGGTTTACACCTACCCACGCGTTTGCCGTGCGTGGCAGCCTTGTGCCCTGGGAGACGAGAGTCCTGGAGTCTGAGCGACGCCGTGAATGAGTACGCCCTGCGGCTAGCAACACGCCTCTTTGGTCCTCTATTCCAGCAAGACAGGCGACCTGATCCCGGCCCGGTCACGGTCAATCGGCTGGTCTCCCATGGGAGGTTAGGGCCAAGCAGTCATGCTTCCATTGGCACTCACAATGGTCCGTGAGTGCCGCCACAATGGTTATTGGCTGCGTATATCCTCTCATCACCCCTGTGGCTGTCAGACACTGGCTCTGACACACAGCTTCCCCTTGTTGGACTCTGTGGTGGGTGGGGGCGACAGCCCTAGGGAGGACAAGGGAAGAGGCGGAGAAGGCAGTGACGGTCGCCATGACGGCAATGACCAAAACTGTCGCGATCCTGAAAGGCAGAAAGCAGGCCCAAGCACAACCAGCATCTGCCTCTGTTCAGGACGAGACTCCCCTCCCAGCTCCAACCCAGGCAAGCCCATCGCAGGCAGAGCCACAACAGGCCGAGTCTGCAGAGCCAGAGCCAGAACGTGCTGAGCCCGCCCCGGCAAGGCCAGCCAAAAGAAGTGCAGACAGGCCTGCGAGAAAAGCCAAAGCCTCCAAAGTCAAAGCTACCAAAGGCTTTCCACCCCCCAGTGGACCCACTGTTAACCTGACTTCAGACGAAGAACTCTCAGCCGAAGAGGACTTCGCGATGTTGGGGTCAGATTGTGACGGGGTCTCAGATGTAACTATCGACTAGTAACATCATTGCACACAATCTAAGCATCCTACAGTGGAACATAAATGGCTTTTCCGGAAGGAATGCCATGCTCCAAGCAGTAGTGCGATCAAGGAGCATCGGCGTTGTCATGCTCCAGGAGACACGAACGGCGGACACTGTTCGCTTCGCAGGGTATCACGCGTTCACGCTGCCACAAACGCCTGGCAAAAGAGGCCTGATCACCCTTGTCAAAGCAACAATCCCCTGCTCCGCAATAGCCGATGCACCGCACTGTGGAGAAGAGACAGAATCTCTCGCCGTAGAGATCCACCTGGCCGGGGGGCCCCTCAAACTGTACATCGTGTACAACCGGCCAGGCTGTAGTAGCTTAGATATTAGCCAGGTCTGTGTGTCTGCTGCACAAGACCGAGTGATCATTGGGGGAGACTTCAATGCACATCATCCCATCCTAGCTCCCTGCCGGGGACCGGATGCGGCTGGCCTCCACATAGCCAGCGTGCTGGAGACGTTCCCCGAGATCGCTCTCCTCAACACCAGAGAGCCAACGCATGTCGGCGGTGGGGTACTAGACCTCACCCTGGTCACTGCAACTCTGGTGGACAGGATTAGCTGGTGTGTTGATGAGACTGTCACAAGCGACCACTTTGGGACGGTAACCACCCTCACGGACGCAGGCCCAACCGAAATCCCACGACCGAATCCAAGATGGAAAACAGACAAGGCCAACTGGCAGGCGTTTCAGAATGCCTTGGCTCACTGTCTGAGAGGCAACGAATCCACACAAGCCGAAAACGTGGATGTGCTGGAAGCCAGACTGGTACAAGCCATAAACCAAGCAGCCTCACTGACCATACCCAGAACTCGGCCCGGGTCCAGGCGTCACAAGGACGCCTGGTACTTTAACGACGAGATCAGGGAGGTCAACCACAGGTTGAACATGTGCCGAAAACTGTTCCGAAGGCAAAGAACCCCCGACAACCTCGCACTGCTGAGGGAGGCTGTCAGGGATGCCAAGGAAACTGCCAGCAGAGTCAGGCAGGAGACATGGTTGGAATGGTGTGAGTCCTTCAGCCACCAAACCACCGTCTCAGAGCTGTGGCAACGGGTCAGGCGAGCTACCAGCCGCTCAGCCCCGAGACGAACGCACTACGACCCTCAAGCAGAGGCAAACAGACTGGTGCACCAGTTCTCTGAGAGAACAAGCAGCAACAGTCTACCAGCTGAGCTGAGGGCCAAAAAGCCTGAAAGCAGACAGACTTGCTCAGATCAGAGAAAGGGCAGCCGAAGCCGATAACTCAGACGTTATCTTTTCTCTGAGGGAACTCCGAAAAGCATATAAACTCAGTTCAAATACAGCCCCGGGCTCTGATGGGATCACGTATCCCATTATCTCCCGCCTAGGACGTGAAGGTGAACTTGCACTCCTGCAACTCATCAACAAGTCCTGGGAATCTTCCTCTGTACCGCAGAGCTGGAAGAGGGCTACCATAGTTCCCATCCCAAAAGCCAAGGAACCGGGGAATTACCGCCCCATCTCCCTCCTCAGCTGTCTGGCCAAGACGGCCGAGAGGATGGTACTGAACCGGCTCCTGTGGAAAATGGGACCCCCGCACGAACACTTGCACGGGTTCACCAGGGGTATGAGCACTGCACACAGCATAGCCACGCTCTTGAGCACAGTGAGCACAACCTCAGCCGTGGCAATATTCCTGGACCTGGAAAAGGCCTTTGAACTAGCAAGCCCTCTTGCTATTCAGGAGGCCCTGGCCCAGAAGGGAATCTGAGGAAAGCTCTTGGCTTGGATAGGTGACTACTTTAGGAACAGAACTGCCAGAGTGAAGTTCCAGGGTCACCTATCGCAGCACTTGCCACTGGAAAATGGGACACCGCAGGGTGGGGTTCTCAGTCCAACCCTGTTTAACGTACTCATGTCCTGTATCCTCAACATGAACCTCCCGTCGGGATGCAAGATCGTCTCGTATGCGGACGATCTCGCCATCACCGCCATTGGGACACAATGCCTAAGTAAAGCCCAGCGTTGCAGGACGGGACTTAAGATCTCAGCAGCCAAATCTAAGGCCATGGCTCTGGGAAAACGAGTTCAAGGCACAAGTCTGAGGATCCAGGGAGTAGACTTGGAATGGGTCCCGGTGTTCCAATACCTTGGGGTATGGATAGACCGGACCCTCTCCTTCCGGCAGGAGACCAAGTACCTGGTCGACCGATGCAAAGCAAGACTGAACGTCATGAGAGTAATGACTGGGAGACGCATAGGAGCCAGACACAAAGTACTAAGAGCCTTTTACGTACATGCTGTCAGGCCCATTGTGGACTACGCCTCAGTCGCCCTAATTGGCAGAAAGAAAAAATACAGAGAAAAATTGGAAACAGTCCAAAACGAAGCTGCCAGAATCATTCTGAGTGCCCCGAGGTGGTCAAAGGTTCCCAACCTCCTGATGGAGACCAACCTTTTCCCCCTGGACTCACGAATCGATCAAATGGCAGCCAACTTCTTTGCAAAGGTCCTCCAGGCTCCCAGGAACACGAGCCTAAGAGAAAAATTAGCCAGACGCCTGGAACAAGACAACGAGCTCTTTGCCAACAACACGTGGCTGTCCCACACAGCCAGGGTGTTCATAAGCTTTGAGCTCAAAGAGCAGCTCCTGACCAAGGGCATGGACTCCCCCCACCCTTACTTTGTCGAAGCCCCGCCGTGGGCACAAAATTCGATAGAGTTCTCGGTCATGAGATTAGCGCTCAAAAAGACCGAATATCCCACGCCTGGTCTAAAGGCAGAGACCTACAGGGTCATATCAGCCATCAACCCCCCGGGTAGTAGAACTTACTACACGGACGGATCGGTCGATCCAGCCAACCACACTGCAGGCGCCGGCTTTGCAGCAAGGGATGCCATGCACTCCATGAGGGTATCAGACAACGCCTCCTCGCTACAGGCAGAGGCCATTGTGATCATGGAAGCCCTAGCCCACGCGTCCCCTTTGGGAGGACACGTAGTCATTCACACTGACTCTAGGGCAGCCATTGACTCTCTCAAGCTCAGCTCACCCAAAGACAATATCTACCTCCTGACCACAATATTAACAATAGCCCAAAGAATACTGGCTCAGGGTAGAAGAATCATCCTTAATTGGGTCCCTAGCCACATTGGCATCAGAGGGAACGAACTTGCTGACAGACTAGCAGTCTCTGGCAGGGGTATGCCCCCTAGTCCCATGATCATTGCACCTAGCCGTAATTTACTTCGGATGAAGAGTACTGGTGTCGCCAACTCCTTCCTCCTGCAGCTTCACAGAGAGGCAACGAGATCCTCCCCCTCGGCCAGATGGTATTCAGAAGCAACGGGCTATGAACCACTGGCACTCTCTGAGCTAAAAGGCAGACAAACCGAAGTCATTCTCCACAGAATGCGCCTAGGTTACCACTGTAAATGGCAGATAATTGAGACCATTGTCCATGAAGAGAGGTGTTGCATGCATTGCGGCGAGCCGAACGCCACACTTATACATTACTTAGAGAATTGTGTACACACACAATTCCTGAGACAGGGACCCCCGACAACAGCCGCCGTGCTGGTAAAGAGACTTTGCGATTCGCTTACCCCGTGGCAGCAGGAGCGCCTGCTGGCAATCCCACCGCCACGGTAAGCACCGAGAGCCATAGATCGAAATGAGTCAGCCCTAAATAGCTGACACAGGCCGGGCCATAGCCGAAGGCCCGGGCGAAGCTAGAACTTCGCAAATCACAATCGATTAAAAAGTTAAAAATATTAAAATGAACAAAAACAAGAGAGTAAGGGAGGGTGAAAGGTTCGAAGGAAGTAAGAGAGGTTCACAAGGGTTAAGATGCTGCTGCCAAGCTCAAAAAACTGGCTCCTGTTCCTCGTCCCAGTCCAGCGCAAGGAAATCGCGACCAAGGCCGCTCCTCCTTCCCCGGAGAAAGACATTGTTTTGGTCTATCCAGGCGGGCAGCCAAAGACGAAGTTTATCGAGATGTTTACAAATCCTCGCGCGCCACGCGAGGTTCAGAGGGAGCACAGAAGCTCTCTCATGGAGTTGTGATGATGTAACAAACTCGTCCCAGCCTATATTATAGATCCATCGGAGAGCTTTATTCTGGATGACCTGTAGCTTTCTTCTGTTTGTGTATGCTGCTAGTGTAAGTGTAAGTGGTGCGTAGGTGAGAAGGGGGTGTATGATGGCTTTGAACAGGTGCAGCTTTGTGCGCGGGACAGCACATCGGAATCGATAAAGCGACTGTAAGCTCTTACTAGCCAATGCGGCTTTTTTCCAAGTATGATAGTGAAATCTTAACATGAAATCAATTGTTACACCGAGCACGGTGCAAGAGCGTGTTATTTGAAGAGGTGCTTGTAGTCTGTCGAAAGAGTTTAGATATATTGGATCGTAAGGAGGATTGTGTTTAGGGTCGATAAAGAGGACTTTTGTTTTTGTCGCATTAGTTATGATAAGCCATTTGTGCTCCCACCTCGAGACGGTGTCAAGCTCGTCATTGATTCGTCGGACAACACCAGCGAGCGAACCATGTCTGGCTAAGTGAGTACAGTCGTCGGCGTAAAGAAGCGTCAATGAATCGGGAAATGCGGGGTCGGGGAGGTCGTTCGTGTATAATATGTATAGTGTTGGGCTGATTATGCTGCCTTGAGGTACACCTGCGTGCATGTGGATGGTTTCTGAAATTTTACCTTTGAATTTAAGTTTAAGTTTGCGGTCGTCCAAGAAGCTGCATAACAGCTTCTTGGTGACCGAGGGAAAGTTAAATTTAGTGCACAGTTTGTACTTCAAGCCAGCATGCCAGACCGTGTCGAAGGCACGCTCCACATCCTTGGTTACGAGAACCGTCTTTAGTCTTCTGTCTTTGTTGTTTACACAGTAGTTAGTCAGTAATGTCAGTGCGTCGTTAGTCGATCGATGGGAGTGAAAGCCGAATTGTTTGGAAGAGAGGAGGTCATGATCGTCGAGATACCGCCTTAGTCGGGAATTAATTACTCTTTCAAAAATTTTGCCTAATGTCTCTAGTAAACTAATTGGGCGGTAATTCTTAGGGTCAGAGAGGTCTTTGTTTGGCTTAGGGATGAGGGCCACTAAAGCACTTTTGAAGGGTGAGGGATAGTAGCCAGAGGCCAGGGAAGTATTATATAGATAAGTCATAGCTCGTAAAACATTGTCAGGAAGGTGAGTGAGTACGTCACGTCCGATCTGAGAGGAGCCCGGAGCCTTTCGAGGAGACCTCGTTATTATTTGTTTTACCTCCTCCAGCGAGATGGGTGCACGGAGTTCGCATGTGTCGTCCAGATTATCCAGGTGGATAATCTGCTCTGGTTCTGTTTCTATCCTGTGGTCTTGGCTCCAGGTGTTGATGGTTTGAAAATGTTCATTAAAAAGAGGGTGGGGTTCATGAGGATAGAAAACAGTTTGCCAGTGATCATGAAAAATTTTGATAACCTCCACGGGATCAGAAATTTGAGTGTTGTCCTTGAGGAGGTGAGTGAAGGGGGGGAAATTACTACCTTTAAGTTGTTTAATGGATTGCCAAAATTCCCGTGGAGTGCGAACTCTCATAGATTCTGTTTTTTTAATTAAGTTATGCCAGTGAATTTTGTGGTCATTATCAAAACTATTTATGACATGGTTTCTGAGGATAGATAAGTCCCACCGGACTCGGTGCAAGTGATCTAAATTTTGAAGAAAACGGTTCCTATAGCAGGTCAGGAGACGCTTGGTTCTCTCGCTTGGATGAAATGATATGCGAGTTTTAAAGCGCTCTCGCGGTATGGCGCGGCGCAACGCAGCTGAAATCCACGCGAAGAGATGATGCCAATGCCTATCTATTTCGAGAATATTTTCTCTTTCAAGGTTAAAATTGAAATTTTGACTGGCAAGATGAGATTTAAAATCATCCCAGTCTGCTTGTTTATACCTGAAGGATGTTGTTTCTTTGTTTTGTATAGGTGTGGTAGAAAGTTTTATAATGACGGGTATGTGGTCAGAACCGAAGTTCGGGCCGGGTTGTAGGTGTGTGTGGTAGGGGAGTGCCGCTCTGTTCCCGAAAACGAGATCAGGGCGGCCCTTCCCTCTTGATGTGAATGAAGTGTGGAAGTTGGGTCCGATATAATGCAGTCTTTTTGTTTCGTGTTTATTTTAGCAAAACATGGGGGTTACATTAACTTCCGCGGACGGCGGCGTAGCACAAAAATATAGTGAATCAATAAATAAGAATTGTTATAATAAAAGAAAATATTCAAGAGATAAAACCAATGAAAAAAAAAAAATAAAACGTGAAAAGAAATCATTAAAGAATTACAATTATGGTAAAAAAAAATACGTAAAAGAATCTGTTGCGATTCATTAATAAAATTCTTAAAATAAATAACCTTCCCTTGCAGTAAAAGAGAAATAAAAAGGATGATTAAGTAAAAAGAAGCAATCAAAAAAATAAAACTGAGTTTAAAACACAAGATAAAAAAAAGTATAAAAAAAATGCAGTCGCAGCAGATGCGGATGTCTGTTATCCGCACATCCGAATCTTAGTAACATACATGTAAACAAAGGATCTCAAAATCTTTATTTAAAAAGTGTACAAATAGGTGTAAATAAACGTAAAATACAGGTAAAATCATAAGGGCCACCGTAATACAAAGAAATAAGCGTAAAAAAGAGGCTGGCAGAGGGAAGTGGTCCGGCTGTGCTTGACTCGCCCTGTGGATTTCGGCAGGATGCTGGATAGGATAGGGATAGGATGGGAGCAGGAGAGGATAGGGTTAAAGGTAAAGGGTAGGACAAACGGGAGAAAGGGATAGAAAAGGGGGAAATTAGCGTACAGATAGAAGAAAGTGAAAAAGCGAAGGAACAAGAAGAGAGTGCGAATAAGAGGGGTACGAGGGGAAATGCGGCAGGATACAGGGCAGGATAGGGATAGGATGGAGGGAGAATAGTATAGGGATAGAGATAAAAGGTAAAACAAGAAAAACGAATAGAAGAGGGAGAAGCTATCGTGGAAGTAGAAAGAGGGGAGAAAAAGCGAGGGGACAGAAAGAGGGTGCGAATAAGGAGACGAGAGGGATAGAAGGATCGGGGCTAGGAAGGGGGGGGGGGTAGGTGATGGGATATGGGGGGGAAGGAGGTTGAAAACCTCACAGCTGCAATTGTAATTAGTTATTATCATTATTATTATTACCATTGTTATTATCATCATCATCATTATAATTATCATAATGCCGCTCCGCTCAGTGGTGTCCTTGGCGGCTGGTTCAAGTGGTGGTGTTTGAGTTATTTCCGGAAAACTTCGTACGCTGACAGCGGGTTTGATGAAGCACGTGTTGCCAGATGTAGGTCAATTACTTTGTGTTAGGATACTTTCATGATTTAACGAAACAGAGTTCAACAAGAAAAAACAGGGAAGATTGTGATGAAAGACTATGGATCATTTAGGGGAAGATAAGGTGATTTTAACTCGTTCATTATCTCTCTCTCTCTTTCTCTCTCTTTCTTTCTCTTTCTCTCTCTTTCTCTCTCTCTTTCTCTCTTTCTCTCTTTCTCTCTTTCTCACTCACTCACTCACACACACACTCACTCACTCACTCACTCACACTCATTCACTCATTCACTCATTCACTCATTCACTCGCTCTCTCTCTCTTTCTCTCTCTTTCAGGGGGACATTAGTAAGCAGTGATTCTATGTCAAAGCTGGCCATTGTAACGGAGTGAGCAAATTTCTTTTACAAAAGCAAGAGTTCTTTATAGCATACTGACTGGTGGTAAGTGGGGAAATTATCTTCACTTAGAATTTGGCAATGTAATTGGAAGTACCCACAGCAGGAATAATGGAGCGAAGGGGTAGACCGAGTTTATGTGTCTTGGGAAGGTCGTATATGAAACTAGGGTTAGAACTAGAAGTAGTGTGAGGTTGTAAGTGACTTCCTCAATGGATGTTTTTGCTTTTGTAAACGTAAAAGTTGACAAAACTGCCTCTTTGATTCTGAATTCGATTGGTTAAAACAAAACATCGT